TGCAACATCTCCTGCCACTCTGGAATCGGATGCATGTCTCCTGCCCCTTCACATAGTGGGTGCATTTCCAGCTGCATGGGACAAGCTGGATGCATGTACAAACTCCTTTCCCAAGCCTGGACACTGGCCCGTCATTTGGCCAATGTTTGAGCATCACTTTGGCACAATGGGCACACGTGAAATCATGCAACGTGAGAGGATGGGGAGCCAGGATAAAATAAGCAGCTCAGTTTCTTCCTTGCCTGCATCCAAGGAAAAGATGGGCCGTCGACCAGGCCAGATACATGATCTTGCCAGGCCAGCTCTGACTTGGGGGTGTCTTTAGTGACTCCCATGACTACAGAGGCCACCTCTTCTCTGCCTCAGTCAGTTCATGGAGTACACGGTTACCAGCAAAGCCATAAAGGACTTATCACCAGCAGCAGGAGCTCTCCATACTTCTGCAGATGAGGGCATCAGCGATACACCCTGGAGAGCGAGGAGGGGGAGAGCGTACAGAGACACACATCCAGAAACTTTGGGATCAAAAGGGATTTGCCATCACTAATGAGGAACCCTGTGGCAGGAGCCGGGAGGGGGCACAGCTCTCCAGTGTCCCACTTCATCATCATGGTCACCAGCTGCTTGCAACTTCTTGTTTCATTTATCACACACCTCTGACCCCTGCAGTGACACGTTGGGCTCTGGATAAGGCTCAAGTGTGAGCAGAGAAGTAGGTCCCCAGGGCAGGAGCCTGCAGAGGGTAGCAGACTGCTACGGGGGTAGCAGACAAATACATCTTCCGAATTTCTCCAACTCCTGTTGCACAAACTGTCCTCAATCGCTCCGAATCACAGCAGCACTTGGAAGATAACAGACAGCACCAATGCCTTTCCATATATATTAGATTTTTTTTTTCCCAAAAGGAAAATTAAGGGTCTTGTGTGAAGCTGTAACCATGAAACACCTCAACGTGCCTGAGCAGGGCAGCCAAGGAAAGGCTGCAGGTAAGCGTGGCCCTGGGAGCTCCAAGACCATTTGCACACAAAGGCAACCTCATAAGCATGTTCGTGGCACACCAAGTCCGTGTAACTTGCTACCAGCCTACTGTGCACTCAAGCATTGGCTGATGAAATAACGACAGTGCTTGGAAGGCTTTATTCCACCTCTTGACCAAGTCTTGTAACACCCCCTGCAGGAACTAGATGAGCTCACCTCTGCCCCACACACCTCTACAAACACCCGCTTCACACTGCTACAGCTGACAAAAAGGAACCAGAACGTTGCTCAGATTCAAGAGACAGGGTCAGATTATACCCGCCCAGATTTGCTCTCCAGGTACCGCCCTCCTTGCGCCGTACTTCGACCAAAGCGATAAGCCTGTCCAGTCACCCTTGTACCATCACAGCAATGAAACAGAATCATAGAATGGTTTGGGTTGGAAGGGACCTCAAAGACCATCTAGTTCCAACCCCCCTGCCATGGGCAGGGAAACCCTCCACTACACCATGTTGCCCAAAGCCTCATCCAACCTGGCCTTGAACACTTCCAGGGATGGGGCATCTACAACTTCTCTGGGCAACCTGTTCCAGTGCCTCACCACCCTCTAAGGATGAGACAGAAGGATGAGACCAACCTGAAAGGATCACAAGCCCTGAAGCAAGGGGAAGCAAATCACTTCTCCAGATCCAGGGCACTGAGTCGGATGCAATCATCCAGGTTTTAAGTATCCCATGTGATAGCAATTCTTTACAAAATTCATACGCAAATTGATAGCACAAACTTTATACCGGGATTGCTCTAGTTCTTACTTCACTGCCCCGAGAGGGAGAACTGCTGCTATCGATCCGCCGGCAGACATTTCACCAGACTTGGGAAAAGGACTGGAAAAACTTAGCTTAGGTCAGCAAAGAGACCAAAACAAAGAACAAGAGCAAACGGCCTGGAAAATCAGAGCTAGTTCTCTAGCTTGATAAAAGAAGCCACTTCGCAAAGAGGCATTTTTCAAAATTTTGAGAAACAAGTGACCCCATCACCACAGCCAGGAATGGCATCCTCAAGGCACAGGGGGACTTGTCAGCACACGTGTCTGCAGCACCCAGTAAGCAACGCGGTAAGTTTCCGCACAGCCACACTTTCAAAATGCCACCACTAGCTGTAAACTCATGGTGACTGCATAAACTGTTATTTGCATTTATTTCACAGGTGTTCAGTCATTTCAGGGACAGAAAGACAACACTAAGTTTAGAAAACCCGAAGACAAAGAGGATGAGCATCCTTCTAGTGGACCATCAGCCTGCAGTCACCACCACATCCCTGCTGCAGAAGACACATTAGCTTTGTGAGCCAGGAGAAAGCAGCCAGAGGACGGTGCATCTAGAATGAGATGTTTGCCAGGGAACACTTCAGGTCCACCTGCAACAGGCCGTTTCAGGATCTCCCTCTCCAGATATGCTTCAGCCATAATAA